AGATAGATAGATAGATAGATAGATAGATAGATAGATAGATAGATAGATAGATAGATAGATAGATAGATAGATAGATGCAGGTGGTGCTGAACTCTGCTCTGCAGCCTGAACAAAACCTATTTAATGTCTGTAAATACATTAAACTGTGCATCAGTTGACAAAAAATAAAAAAAAACCAACATAAAAATGGATTTACTGATAACTGGTGCAGTTTGATGCAGTTCTGGAACGCGGGTAGGCACTCAACGTAAACAAAACACAACTGAATCTGCCAAACACCAAATTTTACACAGCAGATCTGATCGCATCAAAAGTGTCGATCTCAAATGAAACGACTCTTCTGTGGTCACAGTTTTTAAGAATTTATTTATTTATTTATTATTATTTACCTATTTTCAGTTATTTCAACTGTCCCTGTAAACAAATGCATGGCAGYCAGTCACAACTGTTTAATTTAAGAACATATTTATAATTGTTTTCCTCCTTGGTTGTTTGCAGTAAACATCATTATATTCATTTTTTCCCATAGAAGCATTTGTTTGGTGGGATAATAATATATGGTTTAAAATCTGTAATTGGATTTTTTTGTAATGTTTTTGTTTGAGAATATCACGCCACAAAACCAATTTTTAAAAAGTTGTAAAAAAACAGAATGCAATCATTTGCAAATCCTTTTTTTTATTTAATCACAGTGAAACACAGTAAACTTGTTTAATCCAAGATATTTTTTGGGGGAAAAAAATGTTATTTTGAATTTAAGCAGACCTTCTATAAACAACAGCTAAAGGGGAATTTTGCAACAAATTTGGTTAATTATATTTAAAAAAGATGATTTTACATCACTGCATTGGGATCAGAAACACTTTCAAAAATAAACACAGTTTACAAACTCATCAACAAATTCTGGTTAAAGCTCTATCGCGCAAATAAGTAACAAAAGCTTAGAAAAGCTGCCGTCTTTCCTTTCAAACCTCGTTTAAAATGGACTGAAACAGAATTTAAAAACCGTTCAGACACACCTTCCATATTAAAGACGGAGAGGGACCATCAGCTGAAAGGCCTGCCTCTCTGATGGTATGGGGGTACATTAGTGCTGATGTGGAAAACAAGCTGCCGTCGGTCTCAGCAGGACATTAAACCTGATGCAGAAGACAAGACCGGGTCCTGGACTGCAGGTCTGCAGTCCAGGACCTCTGAGCGACKCAAAACAATCATGAAAACAACAAACACACAAACAACTGCTGCTCCCTTTCACCTCTAATATTCAGCTCCTTTAATAATCTACAAACATTGTTTTTATTACACAACATCCCATTTTTTTTTTAAATTCAGGTTGTTTAAAGTCAGGGATTTTAAATAAAGAATAATAGTATTTGCTGACCTTTCAAAAATAACCATTTCATGTTTTATTAAAACAAAAAAAAGGAGAAAGTAAAATTATAAAGTTTTCTAGCAGGTTTAATTTGGTTTGTTTTAATATTTTTTAAAGTTTTACTGCATATTTATTAATTTTACAACTTTTTCCCCCTGTTCTTTAGTTTTTGGCATCTCAAACCAACTCAAAAAAAAAAAAAACTCTAACATTGGCAGATATTTAGTTTATTAATGTTTTTAATTTTCAGTAATAGCCCAGTGGAATTTGATTATGTTTATTATTTACACGTTACAAATTATTTGCAACAATTTTATCTTAATTGAGATGATTTGTGTGAAGAAAATGATGTTTTTATCGCCTGAAAGTTCGTTCCAGAGAGAGGAAATAAGTGAAAAAGAAAACTCCATGTCGGGTTTTATCGCCTCTCCTCTCAAATTAACTTTAATCGTAAAACATATAAAGCAGCCTCGCGCTGTTCCCCCTCCTCTCTCTCTCCATCTCTTCTTCACATACACACACATTCACGAGCCAATCAGGCGCGCGGGAACAGAACACACGCGTGCTGAAGGAGCGCGCGGTGCGGAGAGGCGCGGCGCGAGACGCTCGAACCGGCTGTCTGTCATCAGCTGAGAGAGGGGCAGCGACACGCCGGAGGAACAGGAGTCCAAGGGGGGGAGAGAGGRAAAAAAGTGGGAAGAAGTGGGAGAGAGTGAAAAATAAAATCATAATTTTAAAAATATATATATCCGACATGAGCGGTCAGTTTGAGGAAGAGCTCCACGACAGGAAGAGCAGCAAGTCCCCGACGCTGCTCTCCTCCTACTGCATCGACAGCATTCTGGGCCGCCGGAGCCCCTGTAAGGTCCGCCTGCTCGGCCCGCAAAGTCTGACGGCGCTGTCCGGCAGAGCGGAGCTCGACAAGCCGGCTGAGGGTGAGTTTCCTCACGGCCCAGCTGAGGAGTCACGGCGGGGATTGAACCGTTTCAGAGCGGCAGCTGCACTTAAATCAGAAGGTCGCGGGTTCGATCCCAGCTACTTTAGAGAATTTAAAAAAAAAAACTGCTTAAATTCTTATAATTTAAAGTTTATTTAACTGCTCGTTTAATAAATAATAACTGCTGTATTTTTTTTTAATAATTCACTCCAGGGTTAACGAAGGAGCCCCTCTCCCTGGGCGCTGACATGCACCTGCCCCCCAAGCTGCGCCGGCTCTACGGACCGGGGGGAAAGTACCTCCACGAGCAGGCGGAGAAGCTGGAGAGGGAGCGGCTCCTCCTGGAGCAAGCGGCCGACGGCCTCAAGATCACCCAGGCGCCGCAGGTGAGCATCAGCCGCAGCAAGTCCTACCGGGAGAACGCCTCCCTGAGCCGGGGAGAGGGCGAGCGGAGCCCCGCGGAGGCCTCGGAGGACGGCGGCCTCGGCCTGGTGGAGCTGGGGCCGCTCAAGTTCGAGGAGGAGGACGCCGGGAAGGAGGAGGGGAGCTGCGGGGACGCGGCCGCGCTGTCCCCGAGCAAGGACGAGGAGCGGGAGAGCCTGCACGCCGGGGACGGGGACGTGAGGGACGGGGAGGACAGCGTGTGTCTGTCGGCGGGCAGCGACTCGGAGGAAGGGATGCTGAAGCGGAAGCAGCGGAGGTACAGGACCACCTTCACCAGCTACCAGCTGGAGGAGCTGGAGAGGGCCTTCCAGAAGACCCACTACCCCGACGTGTTCACCAGGTCAGACAAACACAAACACATGTTC